TATATATATATATATATATATATAATATATATATATATATATATATATATATATATATATATAACTGGTTTTATTTTGTCACCTACTCTGAAATGGAATTTATATTCTATTTCAGTATAAGTGATAAAATATAACCACTTTTAGATATAAATTTTCCATTTGCTACAGTTTCTGTACTACAAAAATGACCATGTACAATGCATGGATCCTTCGTCATCAGTGTGAGTGGAAAGCATGTAAGAATATAAAAATCATAATTATGCTAATATTTTGAAGGAACTCAGTTACATGGATCTTCTCAAATACAAAATTCTGAGTTCCATACTTTCCTCCACAGAAGTTGTCTTATTTTCCTTTAATTCAACTGAAGGTATACAATGTTAACACTGTTGTACATCAAATAAAAGTTTTGAGATAGCTTGACTGGGTAATGAAAAAACTTTATAATAATTGTATGATGTTTCGACAAGATTTTGTCATCCTCAGGTATGAGTATTTTACAGAGGACATGAGTATATATATGTGCAGTATAGAACAAGGAAATCACATGATATGATATTGTTTCACAGTATAATATAGGTATATTGGTATCCCGGGGTGTTGATTTAAGGTGGGGCTGTTTTCTTCAATTAAGATAGATTTTTCTATTTTACGTTTATTGATGTTAGGTTCTTTGTTTAAAATTGCAGAATTTTTAATGGATATACTGTGTTTTTTGAGTTTGCAATGGTGGTAAACATGGGAGGGTTTTTTTATTATGTTCAGTGAATCTGGTTTGCAATTTTGTACCTGTTTCTCCAGTGTAAAATTCTGGACAGTCATTGCGTGTTATTTTATAAATGAGGTTGGAATTGTGTAATTCTACTTGTACCTGAGGATGACAAAATCTTGTCAAAATGTCTTACAGTTATAATAAATATTTTTTCAATACCCAATTAAGCCATTTCAAAACTTTTATTTTCTTAAAAGTGGGTTCCTTGTTATCAAACCATTGTACATCATGTGGTTTGTTATGTTCTTCATTTTTCATTCATGATTCATGGTTTTCTGCTTATAGCTTGTAATCAGTCTTGTCTTTGGATGACTGACCAGCTCTTCCCTCAACTTGTCTTTAGTTTTGGTTCTACTATCCCTGATAAGGATCAGGTAATACCCACCTTTGTTCTTCGCTGCTCTGATAACTGTAGTATGCAACATTTTTTCTCTTACTCCAGCTGGTTCTCAGGTAAGCTTCTTGCATGAACAGTACAAAGATATCTTTTTCTTCCTCACTTTTGTTCCTTGTCTGATTGTTACATTTTTGAAGTTTTGTTAGTTTCAGCTTCATGTTGACTCACTTTTGCTATGTCTTCCCTGAACGTCAGACTCTTCTTCTGTGTCCTGTGGTTGGAATTCTTCCTCTTTTTCTATAGCTTCAATTTCTTGATTCTGTTCTTATGACTTGGAGATGTTCTTCTCTTTCTTTAACTATTTTACCCTCATTCTACTTATCTTCATCTTTTGTTTGCTGTCCTCTTTGTCTTCTTTCTGAGGCTCTGCATTGCAACCTTCACAGTATTACTGGGGAAGATCACACTAACCTGGTCTTTATGCTGCTCCAACTTGACCTTCAGCTGTTGCCCAATTCGCTTGATTTCTTTGTTTCAAATACTGAAGTTTTTGGAGAGTTCCTCATTCTGTAGTCCCCCTCCTTACATGCCAGCTATCATGTGGGTTGAAGATTAGTTGTTTTTAGAACTACCATTCGACTTTGGTGCTGTTGGAGCCTGGCTCTTATTCTTTGTCCACATGTGAACTCACTTTACGGAAAACCCTTGTATCATTCATATTTTATCTAAGGTACTTTCTCTGTGTTTCAGAGCTCAAGCCTGTCTGTTTTCATCTAGATCTTGAGAGCTTTTACATTTTAGGTGCACTTATTGAGTCTGGATTTCCATCACTATATGAACATTGGACATCTCCCAGCCCCATCTGGTAGGCATAATTTCTTTTGACTTTCCTTCTACCTCTAGAGATTGCTAGTTTGGGTGGGGTTGGTCATGCTTTTCAGTCATTAATGACTCTCATTTTGTATCTGATTCATTGTGGAATCTATATCTTTTGTTTTCTGGGTGGACTCATCCTTCTTCTTTACAATTCCCAAGTATGGAGCTCCTGGTTTTCAAGGTTCTCATGTCTTCTTTTGTTTCTGTGCATGAAGTTCTGTCTTGTTTTGGGACTAGCCTTTCTAGAGTCTTATATTCTTCTGGATGTGTCCTTATGTATCACTTTCAGTGGACTCTGCCTTCTGGTTCATTGTCCTCTTTTCATTTTTTTACCTTTATATTTATACCTTTCACTGTTATGCTGACTTGCTTATTTCTACACAACACTGGGATACATCTTTCTCCAACTCATTTGGACTTGCATCTGCTTACAGATGCTTCTTTAGCTGGGTGGGATGTGGTTTTAGATGCCTCATGTTCAGGACCTTAGCTTTCTTGTTCTTGAGCCCATATTTTAGGTCCATGAAAGCAACATTTGGTTGTCATTCTTTCATGTTTTTGGAGTTTTGAATTTGGTGGATTGACTGTCCTACCATCCTGTGGTGTTTTTATGGATTGTTCCAACTTTGTAATCCCCTTATCAATGCCTATGTGACTGTCCTCAACACCAAGGCCAAGCTTCCACTTTTTTGGTCTTCAGTCCCAAACACTGTGGCCCCGTTGGTAGTCTCTCTGAGTAAGAATTGGCCCACCCTCTTTCTGTATGCTTATCCCCCTTTTTGAGTTCTTGAATTCACAACACCTCTGGCCAGGTTCTTTTCATTGTTGCCCTTTGGCCAGCTTATTCATGATTTCTGCTTCTTTCCTCTTTGTAATCTTGGAGTTTCTATCTCATCCATCTTGGAAGTTCATTTTACATCAGCCTCGGATATCTATCTTTAATTATGATGTGCCATGTATTTATCTTCACATGTAGAGTTTTTTTTGGTCCCTTGCAAGACAGGCAGGTTTTCTTTCACACAGTAGTCAATTTTCTTGATCACTCTTGTTGGCCATCCACCCTTGTAGTTTATCAACATTAGTTTATCTGTCACTCCATCTTTATCATTCAATTCTTTCTAATTTCTCTTTTAACTGCATTTTTGTAAGATGTCTTTTTGTTGCCTGTTACAGAGTGGCTTTATCATCAACCTTCTATCTTTTTTTCTTTTTCTAGTTTTACAGAACTCTTCAGTGCACTTCTAGCTCGTTGTCTTCTCTGTCCAGTTCCTCTACTGAACTGAAACCTCCTCTTGTGGGAGATGGGTTTTTGATGTTTTTTTTGCTGTATCTGCCCCTACACTTTTTTTCTTTTACAAGAACAGTTTGATTTTAGTTCCAGGCTCTTCCTTCCTTTCCTCCCATGACTTGAGCTGCCAAGAAGGGTGATTAGATGTTTTCTCCAATCATTATCTTCCCATCAATTTCTTCTTTTTAGTGTTGTTCAGACCCTGATAATTTCCTTTGTCATATGCAGTAAGCATGTTGTTTTCTCTTTTGCAAAATGCCCTTTAGATACATTTGAAATTGTATTTTCCTATCGTAGGATCCCTCTACTTCTTGAGACCTATCTCCAACTACTTTTGTCAGTTGGGTACAATTGTCCCCTAGTGGGACAGCAATAAATCTGGGGTTTGATTCCCATCGGTGGATACAACAGATAGCCTGATATGGCTTTGATATAAAAAAAACAAATGCATGGATGCAACTACTCTTCTGACTTGTCACTTCTTCCTTTGGAGATGACACCATCTTTTGTGTTTTTAATGTTACTTCCTATTAAATTCACCATTTATGGCTTCTCTTGCTTCTGGCTGTTGATGTTCTCAAGATGACCACAAGGTGGGGATGCGGATGACCACAAACATTTGTAAGTCACATTACTTAAACCAAATTGTGGTTTCTTCAGCTTCTGGGTTTCTTCTTCCAGTGACCATTCAGGGTTCCCAATGTTATTTAAAATTC